GGAACGCAGCACAGCCGCAGCCGGTGGAAACACACACATTGACTAGAATGGAATCCTGTCGGCTCCGCTGCCGTGCCGGAGCGCAGACGCAACCAACACGCATCTGGTGGAAATTGGCCTTTAGGCAGAGTCATTATTCAGTATCCTTGTGGCCTGAAGGTAGAAGCTCCTCCTGAGCCTCTCAGTGCTGGCCTGGTTTAAGCGGTCCCTCCTTCCTGACCTCAACAGGAAGAAAAGGCAATTTTCCAGGTGGTTGGGATCTTTAATGATTTTCCTGGTTTTATTCTTGCAGTGCCTGGTGTAAACATCATTTACTCAGGGTAGAATAACACCTATACTGTGTTCAGCTGAACGAACCACTCTTTGCAGGGCTTTGTGGTCCTGTTTGGTGCTGTTTCCATACCAGGCAGTGATGTTCTCCGTGAAGACACTCTCAATGGTGCAGGAATAGAAAATTCTCAATATTTCAGGGGATACCCTTTCTCATCACTGAGTCAGTATGCAGCGCCTAGGTCAGGCCTTCGGTGTTGTGGTCACCAAGGTACTTGAAGCTATCATCCTCTCCACCGAGGACCCGTTGATATTAAGGAGAGTGTAGTTCCTTGGCTGCTTCTTCTAGGTATTGCTATTCTACTTTTGCTATCCTGACACCAGCCGGTCAGGTCCTCTACTTCTTTCAGGTTGGCCTTTTCATTGTTACCTGTGATCAGGCCTACCACTGCTGTGTCATCAGCAAACTTGATGATGGTGTTGGAGTCGGAAGTGGCTGCACAGTCACGTGTGTACAGGGAGTACAGCAGGGGACTCAAAACGCAGCCCTGGGGAGCTCCAGTGTTAATACTAGATAGGTTAATCAGTACTGTGAATGATCAGTTGCATCCATATTGAATTCAGTTGTGAGTTTGGGAGAGTGTTTTTTTTCTGTGAGGTTAAATTACCATTTGTGTTCTTTCAGAGATATTTATTTTATGTCAAAGTCCTTGCACCTCAGGATGTCTCTGTCTCTTGTTAAATAACAAAAACGCCCACAGAGTATTGATCACTTGTTCTCATTTATTGTTAATACATACATTTTTGGTTCTTTCAGCGAAATGTCTTTACAAGTAGTGCTTGTCTGCCTGATTCTTTGACATTCCAGTCTGTAGACGCACAAGATTGTTCCGACACTGCCACTTCTAATATATCCCATTCATGATTTGCTGCTTTTCTGGTAACAGTCCCTGCACCACAGGGTGCTGTCTGCTGCGTGATATTAATCCAAATAATGTGTCACAACTCTTCCCCTCTGTCACTCCCCCACTGTAACTGGACTCCTGCTGGACTGGCCCCAGTAGGATCTCACTTTAAAATGTCAACCCTGTCAGGTCCCCATGCCGTCATATCTTCTGTCATCTCCAGGTAAACATCACTCCCAGAGCCGCAGGGAGCACCGGCTCAAGTCATTACAGCTGCGGCTGCCACCGCTCCCTTTCCATCAAGTTTTACACATCCAGCTCCAAACCAAGTACATTTCTTTAATCACTGCACTCTCCTGTAGTGGCAGAAGAAGAAAGGTCACCCCTGTCCAGATAGAAGACTCGAGGCTCCATGGCTCTGAAACTGAGTCACCTCTGGAGTCAGTGTGGCGATCACAAACTTGCATGCATCGTTGTGTGTGTTTGTGTTGTACCACATGCAATTTGGGTTTGGTGTAATTGGCTCATTAGGCCTTTGGTCTGTTTGGAGAATTGAGCAACTGGGCGGCTCATCCATGAGTAAATTCTCCAGTTTCAAGCCACTTGTCCTTGTCATGTTTTTGTAGAGTGCATCTGCCTTCATCTGTCAGTCTGAATCACATGGAGAAGGCCTAATTGATACGATGTGTCTGTGTGTGTGTGTGTGTGTGTGTGTGTGTCTGCATACAGCGAGTCAGACACACTCTTAGGACTAGCAGCTCTTGGAGTTAATCCGTCTCAGTAATAGTGGGGGATGGAGCAGAGGGGGGTGAGAGGAGGAGGAGAGAGGAGAACAATACAAAATCTCTCCCTCCCTCTCCGGACACGTGGTTATCACCCGGCGGGAAATCTCTGGACTTTGGACGTTCTCTACGGATGTTGCTCCTCTGGTTCACTCGTCCCAGCTGGCTCTTAGCGGTCTCTGCTGTGCCGCTCAAGGAAACGAGGTACAATACACTCCCCCCCTCCAAAAAACATCCTTCGTCAGTGCTTTTCGTTCCTGCCATTGTCACCAGACAAGAGGCTGCGTCAAGAGGTAAAATTAGGAATGTGTGTAGAGTAAGGAACTTCCCGAGGTGTGTGCTTTACTGTTTCTGCAGAAAGTATGTTTGAAGCCCGTGAACTATGACAGGAAGTGTAGGGAGACAGTGGAAACAATATGTATTTCCTCCTTCGCAATGCAAACCCTTGTGTACAGCACAGGATTGCTGTGTCTACCTCATGGACATTCCTGAATGCACCAAACGGCTTTGTTTCCTGTGCTGCACCGGACATAGCTCCTGAGTGGTTCATAGACACTTTCAGTAAGATTATCAGATAGTATGTTTACAGGAAAGAGTGAATTCCAACGCACACTGTCACACTTTTGTTCTCTTACATCTTGAAATCCATATAACAGTATTGTTCTAGAACAAAAGAATTTCCTGAGTTAGTTGTCTCCTTTTATGGTTACTTCAGTTTCTTTAGTTTCCTTCATTGCACTTTAGTCTCTGTTGTAAAGTATATTCAGTATATTGTATGTTTTATATTGTTATTGTTATCCTTAAAAAACCAAAAAAGTCTACATATACTGCTACCTGAAAACCTGCTAGAGAAAACGATTACCAGCAGCAGAAGGGTATACCTTTCTGTTTTGTGTCACCTTCAGTGTCACAGATGCGCCTGAAAACATGATAGTGAACAGTAGATAGCAGCATGGAGGCCTGTGAAAATTTCATGGTGGTAACTCCTTTTTTATATTTGTTAGTTTTTCAGTCTCTCTTTTTAAGTTACTGCTGACAAATTTGGAACGTTTTTAGGCACTGCTTGAACTGACCGACTTTGGAGTGGCGCATCACTGCATCGCACCACGAAAGGGTGAAAATTAGCCTGTTCACCTGGTTTTCATGTTTCCATCTGTGTTGGTCAGAGCTGATAAATACTGGTGACTACTGCAAAGTCATTTTCCAGGGAATGAATGCCCATTGTAACCTTTCCCACTAAATACAAAAGCAAGATATTAGTGGGCTTTTTCGTCCAGTGGGAAAGGGGCTTTGGATTACTTGTCACAGGTTAAATACCTCTGTGAGTCATTGTTCAACCAAAGAGTGATGTTCCCATCTCACGTTGTTTCATTTCAAATGTTTTTAGAGGCCTGAAGAGGTAAAATACACAGTTTTGAGCAGAGAAGTTCGTGCTTGGCCTTGGAATAAAAATTAAAAAAACTCAGCTTTCTTTTTGGTCCTCATAACATATTGAGATAGTAAAACTGAATTAAAATAATTTGGTCTACTATCCAAAGCAACAATGAGAGTCAGGGTCAGGGTTATTTTGGATTCACCAAGTTGCACGATAAACTAACCATCGAGGCAGCAGTAGAACAGCAGCTCTCCTTTTCAGCAAGGTAAAACTTAACGTGTTTGTCAATAGAGTCTGGTGGCTTTGAAGAGAGCAATAGAAACAAACAGCAAGATAAAGCAGTGAAAATATTCTACACATAGCATACACTTAATCTTATATTGATTTTTTAGGTGGCTAAAACACATTTTGCTGCTGCTCTCAACTATAGCAGTACATTATTGAGCTTCTGTGGTGGTACTCCTGTTTGTCTGCTTCTCCAAACTGGGGGCGTGCCAGCTGCCATCTACTTTAAGTAAGACACTGATTATGGATAAGCACCTAAAACAAACCACATTTCAAAATATCCGAACCATCACTTTGATAACACTGATACCTTGAGTCAGGCTGCAAAGCACTCTGACATAACTCCAACAGCCCAGAGTTTGTTTTTGCCTAAAACCCTCAGCATGTTGAAATAAGTACAGTGTCCCACCCTGTTAAGTCTGTTATGTTGATTTAAAAGGATTAAGCTTGTTTATGGTATTATGGCCCTCAGTGTTGGCGACAACCCTGAGTATCTTGTTTTTGCATAGAGTAAAACCTAGAAAAGTAGAACTGGGTTCATGCCCACAGGGTACAACCTCTCGGTTTGTCATCTTACACCACTACATTTTTAATCTCTCACCCTCAAGGCAAATAAAATTGCTTTCATGTTCATGCATGATACGTTGTTAGATGACATGAATCATTTAGACATGCAGCTCAACTGCGTCCCCCTTTCATGTGCGAGTATCTGTCCGTTCATCAGAGATCTTCAGGATGGGAGGGTAGTTTAATTAATCTTCATCAATATATGAGTCATTGTTTCCTCTGGGGCCAGTGGACGAGTCTTAAGACCACTAACTCTCCTGCCCTCAGACACAGCATCCCACTTCTGGTGGGAAGCACTTTGACAAATGGTCCTTCACAGTTTAATGTTGCAGCAGTTGTGCTGCAGTGCACTAATAGTGCTTCCACTCTCACTGGGCCCTGAAGTTTTGACTCAGTGTATCAAAGCCAGTGCTTGTGGTCTCGCTCTCTGTGATGACGTATCGCTTGCTTTCTTAACGAGTCACCTGCTCGGTCTAAGAGGCTAAGGTGCGTTCAGGGAGGCCTCGTGTTAACTGTGATGCCCGCTGGGAGGCTGGAGGATAGATGGTTGCTGACAGCACCCTTGGCGTTGCAGTGCTACTGCTGTGTCATGCTATTTTGCTGTGGTGTTGGCTTGTCTGTTTGTCTCAATTTAAAACCTCTGGAGAGGTGTCTGCTTTTATTGAATATCTGGAGCTAAAAATACCTTCTGCCCCACCAATCAGAGCAGAGAACAGACTGAAGAGTGAGAAATGATTGGATGGGATGTCCCATGGATGTTGCTGTTCTCCCAATCTTGACAAACATAAAAGAGCAATCTTAAACAGGAAAAGAAAGCATATTCATGCATTAACAATTTGAATTTAAAGTTGCAACGGGCAAATTCGCACTTTAGTGGCAGCTTATTGTACAGATTATTTTTTAATGCACATTCAGGGATCATTCTGCATATTTCTCCCTCTTTGTAGCTGGTGGAGATGCATAAACATTTTACATCTTGTCCATCTTTTTTTCGATGATCATATTTCTTTGCATTTGCTCACAAGTTTCATTCTGTGCTACGAATGGAATTTGTTAATTTTGGGCACAAGGCCACTCAGCCTGCAATTTCTTTTGAGGTCACAAAGGCCACATGCCAGGACATCAAGGCTATTAGTTAAAAAAAAACAACACAATTTTTATTTCACTTAAATAGACAAATCCATGTCTAAAAGCATAAATGCCTTTTTAATAAACAGTGAAACACCTCTAGAGAAATAAAAAACAGTTTTTATCAAAAGAATAATTTATAGCATAATGTTATAAAGACTTTTTAAAAACAAGTTCTAACGTCTGATGAGGTTTGAGAATGTACGGTGACTAATTACATCACATCTATAGGCATCTACAAGCAAAAAAGCATCTGTACGCAAAAATTAAGTGTATATGTGTGAGACAGACACATATTTTGTTATATATTAGACCTATGTATAGAATTGTTCCTCAGAGAAATAGTCAGTGACATTAAAGCTGGGGTAGGCAGAAATCTGAAAAGGTAAAAAAAAAAAAAGACTATCTGAAAATACACCCTCGTCCCGCATGCGCTTCATACATTAACCTAAAGTTTCTCATATATTGATGTATTTAAACTTATTTCATTGTAGAGTTTTGTGCCGCTCATTTTTGCAGCCCCTACTTGTCATGCTGTCGTTCTTTATTTGTTTATTAGACCACAAATGAGACGTGCATTAGCTAGCTAGCCACCCCATGGTCCCTCCACTTCTCTCCCTGCTACAGATGGTTTTTCTGGGAGGTAAGTGGGCAGCGGCCCAGGAGATGGAGCTTTGGTGGGCTCTGAAGTGGCTCTAATTTGGCTGGTGCAAACACAGCATGCTGGTGGTGGGGGGCAGCACCTGTTCTAACCTGTGTAACAGCAGCAACAGAAAGTTTGCTGATTCATGGCAAGTTGGTGGGGATGCTGAGGTTTGTGCTGGCTGGATTCGGTTTGCTGTGGTCGCTGACTGGGGGGTTCATCTTTGGAGCTGCTGCTAGTGCTCCTCCCAAAGAACGTTTGTAGCTGCGGGGAGTGAGGCAGAGGACGCACTGTTATTTGATTCTCTAGCTAACATGAGCTACATAAACGTGAATTAGAATCCGTAGCTTAATTCCTCGCAACATTTTCTGTCCAGCTCTGAAATGCTTTGACGATGCTGACACGTGTTTTGTTTCATTTATTGTTAGACTCTCTTTCAGACCATCTTTCTCTTTTGGGGTTGCTTTGCAGTGTAGGGAATTGTTGCCAATGCTGAAATAGCAACTTTCTCTGCAGGATTTTAAGCCATTAAATCAGCTTTCCATTGAAGGTACGTGCATGCACACCTGCACTTGTAGAACAGCCAATAGGAAAACCCCCTTTCTGAAATGACTTGTGATTGTCTCCTGTCATGAGCAAGATTTTCTAGAACCTGAAAACAGAGTCAAGAGAAGGTGCAGAAGGATAGTGCTCTCTTAAATTACAAAACACTCAAAGTTATTTGGGGATTTTTGCCCAATGACACCAAAATGCCTACCTCAGCTTTAATTCATAATATTATTAACACTCAATCAATAACATTCTGAATTAAAGACATTGTTTTGTCAGAGCTGATTATGGAGGTAGCTAACAATCTGTGCTGAAATTATATTACAAATCTGACAACAGTTTGAGAATAAATTTGTTAAAAATGAGGCAAATGTGCAGCATCTTATTCAGGAAGTTGGATTTTTTTTCTCTGTGATTTTTAAAAGTGGCTGTATACTCAAGCAGAAAATTCCCCTGAGACAATTTGAATAAATTCATATTAATGCCCTGTTGAATGTCGTACCAGAATTCAACATATTAGTCATTCAGCATTTGGAAGAAAATGTAGGTTGACTCACGTTGAGCATTTTGAAAAGCTTCTCCCGCTGAGTCACTCTGTTTCAGCCACTGGCTGCTCTCAAACCAGGTCACCTTTTGCCACCAGCAGGCCGGCCATCA